TGGATTGATTTGGTGACTGGGATAATCGGGATGGGTGTGTCGGAGGCAGTGCGATTGGCACAGGACAGAGCAGAGTTTAGGGCTGTTGTACATATTGTCACTATAAGTCCCAAGCACCTTGACGGCACATAACAACAACAACAGTAGCAATAGTTGAATCAGCTGGACAACAAAATAAATTCATTAAAATGAAGAGCTTTCATTTTAAAAAGGAAAGAAAGAAAAGGCATCATATTGCTATGATTTCCTCTGTTTTCTCTAGAAATGGTGGGTACTGAATGCCATTCCACAGAGACCCTGCCTGCCCCATTACCCTACACAGGATATAGGGTCAGGAACAGGCCCCCCCCAAAAAACCCCAACACATTGGTGGGGTTGGTTAAATCACATCATCCTTATTATATAATTCCATTGGGCTGCAAGGAGCCATACCCCCAGTAAGAAAAGGATTGAAGCAAATATTTCCATTAACTATAGCTACATAATAAATGATCCTAAGACTTGTTGTTTTGTGGCATTGAATCGACCACGATGCATAGCAATCCTACACACGATAGCTCTGAACCCTGCTCTTTCCTGAGCCAGTCTCACTGTCTCTAGCACACCTACCCCCGTGTCCCCAGTTACGGTGTCAATCCATCTCATCCGGGGTCTTCCTCTCCTGCTCTGTCCCTCCATTCTTCCACCCATCATGTCCTTCTCCAGGGTTTGGTCCCTCCTGGCAACATGCCCAAAGGATGAGAGAGCCTCCAAATCCTTGCCTCAGAGGAACAGCTTGGCTTCACCCTCTCCACCACAGACCTGTTAGTTCTCTTGGCAGCTCTTGGTATGGTCGGTACTCTTTTTCCAACACTACAACTCAAAGGCATCAATTCTTCTTCTGTCATCTTTGGTCACTCTCCAGCTCTCTGATGCAAACAGGTAACTGTGAAGACCATGGCCTGGATCAGGTGCACCTTAGTCTCTAGATTGATACTGTTGCTCTTTAATACTCTAGAGAGGCTTCTGACAACAGATTTTTCTAAAGCAATTACTCTTTCGACTTCCTGACTGTTGGTGCCATGAATGTTGATGGTGGAACCAAGCAAACTGAAATTGTTAACAGTCTCAATCTCTCTCCATCTGTCATGATGCTGCCAATTGGCCCAGTGGTGAGACTCTTCATTTTCTTGATCTTGAGCCTCAGTCTGTATTTCACACTACAGTTTTTGGCCCTTTCCAGCAAATGTTTCAGGCCCTTTTCCATTTCAGCAAGCAAGGTTATGTCATCTGCATACATCTGTTGTTGATGAGTCTTCCTCCAATTCTGATGCCACATTTCTTCTTATAAAGCCCAGCCTCCTGAATGATTTGTTCTACATATAGATTGAAAAGGTATGGAGACAGCATGCATCCCTGACACACTATTTTCCTGATTTTTGAATCATGCAGTATTTCCTTGCTCTCTTCTGACAGCTGCTAGGTTTCGCATGAGCAAAATCAGTTGTTCTGGGATTCTCATTCTCATTCTTTTCAAGGTTAGCCATAATTTGTTGTGATCCACACAGTCAAATGCCTTTGCATCGTCAACCAAACATAGAGGGGGGGATAAATAGATAGACATAAAAAAAATAGATAGACATTTCTCTGTAATCTCTGCTTTTATCCAAGATCCTTCTGACATTTGCGATGATAATCCCTACTGTCACAGCCTTTTTTAAAAAAATTTATTTTATTATTTTTGTGTGAGTGTACTGTCAAATCAGATCTGACTGGTACAGGAGGAGATTGTCCCTCCTTCCCCAGCAGAGCATCTGGTGGATTTGAACCGTGCGCCTCTGGCATTGTAGTTGCAGCTCCTTGCCACTAGGCCACCAGAGCTCCCCTGTCACAGCCTTTTCTAAACCTAGCTTGTGTTTCTGGTAGTTCTCTGTCACTGTCCTAGTCATTTTTGGATAATCTTCAGCTGGATTTTGCTTTTGTGTAGTAGTAATAATATTGTTCAGTAATTTCTATACTCTGTTGGATCACCGTTTTTTTGGAATGGGAATAAATATGAATCTCGTTCAGTCAGTCAGCTAGGCAGCTCTCCTCCAGATTTCCTGGTACAACCTGATAAGCACATCCAGGACGGCATATGTTTGTTGAAATATGTAATTTGCTATTCTATCAATTCCTGGAGCCTTGGTTTCTTGCCAGTTTCATCAGAGCAGCTTGAACTTCCTCTTGCATCGCCATTGCCTCTTGGCCATATGGTGTTTCATGAAATTCTTGTGTTTCAGCCAATACTTTTTGGTACAGTGACTGTGTATACTCCTTCCATCTTCTTTTGATGCTTCCTCGACTGTTTAATATTCTGCCCATCGCATCCTTAAGGCTTAAATTTGTTCTTCAGTTCCTTCAGCTTAAGAAATGCTGAGTGAGTTCATCCCTTTTTGATTTTCTGACTCCAGCTCTTTGCACGTTTCATTATAATACTTTGTTTTGTCTTCCCGAGCTGCCGTTTGAAATGTTCTGTCCAACTCCTTAACTTCCTGTTTTCTTCACTTTGCTTTGGCTTCTCAGAGCTCTAATGCAATGTTCAGAATCTGTTCCGACATCTGTCTCAGTCTTGTCTTCCTCCTTTGTCTTTGTAATGACCTTTTGCATTCTTTTTTTTTTTATTTAATTTTTTTTTACCTTTTGCATTCTTCATGGATAATATTCTTGATAGTCTCCCAGAGCTCATCTGGCCTTCACTTATTAGCATCCAAGGTCTCAAACCTGTTTCTGAGATGGTTAGATGGTTAAATAATGATTCTATACTTAGTGCTCACGAGTCCCGGGCTGACTGGTGAGTTCTGCTGATCTCTGAGCTTGGTGAGCCCCAGTGTATCTTTGGTCAGCTTGGGTCACCCAGATGCGTCTGCTGATCTTATCCTGGGCTTGTATGTGTCTAATGCTCACCTGGATGACTAGGCTGACAGGTGTCTGCTCCAGGTGGCCATGCGTCGTCCTGCAGGCCAGCCCAGCATTGTTCACATGGCGAGAGTGAAGAGTTCCAAGGGCAAGTGAGAGAGTGTTAGAAGCTTTGTCGAGCCTAATCGTGGATCTTGTATCATGTGACTACTGTTGCATCCTGTTAACCAAAGAAAGTCATGTGGCCAGCCCAGATTCAAGGGAGTGGAGAAATAAATTCTGTCTTAATCAGAGCAACTGCAAAGCTACACTACAAAGAACATAGATATAGGAAGAGGTGAAAATTGAGGACCTCTTTTTTTATTTTCTTTCTTTTTTTTTTAATTCTGTTAATCTGTTGCAAAAAGGAATTTCTTTTTCTCACATGATAGGAAATCCACAGCTGGCAGCTGCAAGATGACAGGTCGCTTCCCCTTGTTCTTTTCCCTTGGTCACAGAATGACTGCAGTTGCTCCAGCCATCACACCCACACCCGTGTGTATCGCAAAACTAGTAAAAACATGGATCTGATCCTCAGAAAACATTTTCAGCTTCTAATCAGGAACAGAAGAGGGCTGAGGACAGCCCATGGTGCAGGACAGCCACTGGACAAAGCCATGGGGCCCAGAACCCCACAAAAGTATTTCTCCTGACCCTGTGCCTCACCCTTCTTTCTCTTCAGGGAGCGCATCCTCTCAGGCAAGCTGGTTCGTAGAGCTGAAAAGAGGCTCAAAGAGGTCGTACTCCAGGTGGAGGAAGAGCGGCGGGTGGCTGATCAGCTCCGGGACCAGGTAAGCAGCTGACATCATCAAGGGGCTGAGAGGAAGTGACGTCACTGACCAGGAAATAGCAGGGACTATTTTTTTGAAGTAGTGAGCTCCTCATCACAGGAGAGAACCAAGTGGATGGCAAACTAGAACTAAGTGCAGATATTATCATAGGGCTTGGACAGTCAGCAGCACATGGGAAATGACTTTTGAATTCTAGAATCTAAAAGAATCCTAAAGGGATCTCTGCTGGCCAAGTGGCAAGAAGCTGCACGGCAATCCTGAAGGTGCATGGTTTGAATCCACCAGATACTTCTCTAGAGAAGGAGGGGCAAACTCTTAACTGTGCCAGCCAGATCTGAATCGCTGGCACACAACCACACACAAAAAAGAATGTTGTTTTTGTTATGTACCATTGATTCGCCTGCAACTCATAGTGACCCTATGTACAACAGCCCTAAACTCGGCCCTATCCTGTGCCAATCTCACCATCTCCGACATACCTGCCCTCATTACCCCAGTCACTGAATCAACCCATCAGGGTTTTCCTCTCCTTCACTGTCCCTCCCCCCTCCCAAGCATGACATCCCTCTCCAAGGACCAGTCCCTCCTTGCAACATGTCCAAAGTATGTCAGACGAAG